TGAAGCTACTGTAACGCTTGTCCAGAAGGACTGAGTCTTAAGGCAACAAGCATGCGAGCTCAATTTACTGGGTTGCTGTTAAGGAACTTAAATTAAGTTACTATATTGGGGAAACCCCATTATTTACTATACATACCCATTATGGTAACTTAATTTAAGTTCCTTAACAGCAACCCAGACTATGCTCCTTTCACTCCCTTACTTGGACCATGAGCTGACGCCTAGAGCTGAGGGCTCTGAGGGTGGAACCGTCTGAAAGGCCAGGAAGGCCCTCATTACCTCAAGCGGCTTTTGTTGACAGGTTGATGAACATGGGTTTAGGGTTTAGGATTTAGGGTTTAAGGTTTAGGGTTTAGGGTTTAGGGAATAGGGTTTAGGGTTTTGGGGACTGTACTAAACTACAAGAGGGACTCACAGGGGTCACGCAGGAGTGAGTGTTGGCACTAGACAAGGGGTCTACTCAGGGATGGGTGTGGGGTTTGGGGTGACTTTGTGTCCAGCATCAGTAGGCCCTACAGGCGTAAAGCAGCTTAGGAATCAGGATGTGGCGATGGTAGGTTGTAAGAAATACGGTCACTTCCCGGGTCCCTGAAATAAGGCCGGCTCTGTAGGGTGCTATAAAGGCCTAAAAAATTGCCAATATTTTGGTTGCAGATTCCTTGCATAATTATAGTATAATCTCTTTGCCTAATGTATATACACAAGTAAATATAACAGGACCCTAGGTACATTATGCTATCCCTATGCAAGGATTAGACAGCAATGGCGCTGCCAACTATTTATACCCTCAAACACGCTTAAAAGCGACTACAGCAGCCCAGTTTCCAATTAATTCTCTACTAAGCAGTATCCTACTCTAAACCCTAAACTCTGAACCCTGAATCCTAACTCTGCAGCCCAGCAGCTGCATTAATCCTCATGATGCTGTGCTGCCCCCCCGAACCGTGGCAGCTCAGCAATGCCTCGTTGCCCAATGGCAACTCAGCGCTACGTTTACTGGCGAGCCAGTAACTGCGACATACCGAAGGCAGTCGAAAAGCCAAGGACAATCGTACCGCGCGGAAGTTTCTGACAAAGCTAAACCCTTTTTTATCCCAAAAGTTTCCAAATGCTATTTCTTAACAGTAGCCCAAACTCATGCGCAATAAAGCTTCTTGTCAATGGTCCTACAGCTTAGGGCTTGCTAGCAGTGACTGCAGGAAAGGATCCCCAAAGTAGCCCCCATATACTCCCCTAATGGGTTTAAGGTTTAGGGAGCTTTTTACGGTATCCATGAAATTTCTTTTCCGTTCATTCATAATCCCAATGACCAACAAGACAGAGACAACGCTCCTCGCCTGGATGTGTGCCAAGATACTTACACACAGTCTCTGTTTAGAACCAGGATACGATTCAGAAAAGAAAACGCTGAAGATGCGGCTGACTACATTCCAACAAGAACCTTAGAGCACTACAGGATGCAATTCAGGGAAGCAAAAATGGCAATCAAGGTTGAACGTCTGGCAATGCACATGCAGCTTTGACACAACTTGGATGAAGTGACCTCCGGTTGCTGCTTTAAATCGAGACCATATGCTCCCTTTGCTTCAACCTATGATCTCAAGAGTATGGATGATGCAAGATTGATGCAGATCTTTTTCCTGTGATGTTCCAGGGAGCACCTGTCCGTTTTCAGGATGATAGCTCCTCACCTCCAGGGACTTTTTGTGCTTCGACGCCAACCTCCAGCTCCTTCGTGTTCACCGGGACATATGGCTGTTGATGCTCTGGCTTTGGCTTGGCATACAAGTAAATTGCAGCACATACCAAGCCTGCACCCACCACGAACGCTGGAGAGGGCCTCCATTGAAATAGGTAGCTTGAAATCATACATGTGCAAACCAGCGATGCTGCGGAACTGAAGCCCTTTGAGACATTGTCGGCGTACTTTGCCACCGTGGCCACAATTACTCCGCCAAGGGCCTGTAGCATCACAACGATGCAGACCAGCAGACTCCAGCCAACAAAAAAACCTCTCTCCATGACCTGAAGATCATGGGGACAAAGAGGGGCGTTCCATGATCAGGCCTCAAAGTATTCAACAGAACGATGAGCCCTATCGAGCCAAATTCACTCCTGCAATCTCCTGCCCTGGCCAGAAGAATTCTCGATGATGCAAGTTTTGCTTTTGACACACAAAAAGCCACTACGTGGCTCCGTGAAAACTGAGTTGAGATCCAGATGTAATGACAAGCGCGCTGCCAATCAAATGCTCACTCACAACGTGCATGGACATCAGCCGAAACAATGACCAGTAGCCTCTACAAAGAAGCCGCCCCAGGCCTAAAGGTAAGCCTGCTATACTTCCTGAAACTGAAATATGCCCACCTTTGTTCTGTCTGAGAAGTATGCACCGGATCCCAGGAGGAGCATGGACCATGAAGCCAGCTGCATATTGCGCACCCAAAGACTTTCAGCCGCTTTGAACACCTTCTCCGTGTACGCAGCTGCGAAACCACTTGTCAAGCAAGTCAGCATGACCTGGAGCTGGCGGAAAGCCGCTCTCTTGTCCTATCTGAGCTACGACAGGACTACAGGAAAGCAATATCATGGTATATCATAGTTTATTATAGTATATTATCGTTAATTCTACTGTGTTATAATCGATTATGTTTTATTCTAAGTATGGGGTGGTGCAAAATTTTGTGGAAAGGGTTTGGTATTGGTCAGGTGGAGTCGAAGAAAAGGTCCATGATTTCATGGAATAACACCCGAGGCATGGTCTTCTGAGTGAAATGAATCCCTGGCCGCAGACGCCTAAGCTCTTTAATATACGATAATCTACCATGATGTACTATAATATTCTATGATATACTCTGATATATGATGATATACTATACGATAATATATTAGAATAGACTTGCCTAAAGCATCGCAACCCAGACGAAGTGACAATGGCCGCGCCAAACCAAAGGTTTTCAAGGTTCGCAGTCCCGGTTTTGCTGGTCGACTCCTTAGCCAACTGCAAGTTCAAAGATGCAGCAATACCAATACTACTAATAATATGGGTGGTAATAATCGTGATAATAATGGTTGCAGTAATAATACTAACAGTAATTAACAGTAATCATTATAATAATAGTTGTAGTGATAAAAACAATAATAATCATACGTAATCTTCCCCCAAATTCCATCAGCAGCTGAAACCTTGGACCGTACAGTGCAAACGCTCACTAAAACATCTATCATTATCACTATGATTACTCTAATTACTCTAATTACTCTTATTACTCTTATTGCTCTTATTACTTTTATCATTATTATTACCATTATTACTATTATTATGACTATTATTACTTTTATTGCTATTATTACTATTACTACTATTATTACTATTATTACTACTATTACTATTAGTACTATTAGTACTATTATTACTATTATTACTATTATTACTATTATTACTATTATTACTATTATTACTATTATTACTATTATTACTATTATTACTATTATTACTATTATTTCTATTATTACTATTTTTATCTCTATTATTATTGTTCTTGCTACTAGTCATACAATTGCTGATATTAAAATCCAACAACTCATTGCTTACTTGAAAATGTAGTCACCATGCCTGCCCTGCAAACCTTCTCCTCTAACTCGAAATTGGGAAGTGGCAAGCAAAACCGATGGGTTTAGGGTTTAGTGTTTAGGGTTTAAGGTTTAGGGTTTTGGGTTCAAAGGTTTAAGGTTCAGGAGGTTCAGCGCTGAGCCAACCAAGTGGGTATCATCCAAACTGGTTCTTCGCTACTCATCAAAACCGATGATTCTTGTGGTGTGCCCCGTAGTCTCCTTGTTTTCCGCATTTGTGAGGACGCTCGAAGTTCCGCAAAAATCAACTGCAAGCTGCCTGACAAGGTGCACTTCCATTACCAGTAACATTGCAATGTTCAGCTTCAAAACCAGAACGACATTCATAGCGATTCATGTCAAAAAAATTGCCAAATAGCCTAGATTGAAAGATAGCTTGTTTTGCAAACATGATATACAAAAATTAAGCACGTACCTCTGCAGCACGAGGTTCTGCAAACTGCACAATGCCAGTGCCTAAAGTGCAGCAAGCAATGCCGAGCCACTGCCGCCGCGAAAAAGAACGGTCCAACAATAAAAGACTGAACAAAGCCGTCGTGACCATCTTCAGCTGGTTGAGCGTTTGGAATAACCAAACATCCAGGTAGCTTATTGCCACATAATTCAATGCGTTCTGGGTTGAATATATAAGCGCTGGGAGCAACATTGTCAGTGCGCCCCGTGAGCAATACTTGGTGCACAAGTCAACTGTTCCTGAGGTTCCAATGAACTTGGGAGAAACAACCATTCAATCCCTAGGTCAAATCACTACGTAATGACCACTCCAGGCCTCCAGGTCAAACAAAATAAACGTACTGCTTGCAAAAGCAGCGTCCATAGTCCAAACGAGCCAATGCAGCTGACAAACTAAATTTCAAAGCTTCCACACACAGCACAACACTGGCAATGATATATGACTCTGACACAACATCCCTGCCTTCTGCTTTCTTGGGGATTCGCGATAAACGCATGCATATCGCCAATGATGAGTCCACAGCCATGAGAATAGCCAGTGACAGCAACTTCATGCCAGCAAGATTTGCTTGCCCAAGCGGCCACCATGAGCTCAGAAAGGACCTTCAACCATGTAAGTGGGCGCGCGAACACTCATCTTTGGCTTCTGGCCGACACGAATCATGGATGCGTGCGTAAACGCGACTGATACATGTTGCTAGGCATCATACCAGGCTTCCGCATTGACTGTTCGTTTGCCAAGTTTCGTCAACGCAAAAAGCCATCATAGCCAAACAGCACGATGCAAATTGGAAAATGTGGACACATGTGTGTTGAAGGGTACATGGTCACAACAATAAAATTACAACACACACATCCCAACACTACCTATTTTCGGCGGGCTTACACCTTCTCATAAAATCAGGAAAATTTCATACATCCTGCGCACGTTTTGCGCTTGGATCCTCCTTACCTGATTAAATCGTCTTCTTGGAGAATGCGAGTCAAAAGCATGTCCTTAAAAATGGTACAAATTTGCTCTTGTAGCATGTTGGTCGCCTTTGCTTTCAGCGCTTTCGGACATTTTGCCGGGACAATTTTGGGACAGCAGCCGTTTGACAGGGCTCAGAAAATTCCACCCCTTCATTTCCCCTAGTATAAAACCCCCCTAATGTAAAATATGGATTCCACAGAATTCCGAATTCTGAAGTTTGCCGCCCAATTTGCGTTGAAAAGGGCCAGGATTACGGTTGACTGCGGCTCGGATCCTCTGAATTACAGGGGGTCCCTGGCATGATTTTTGGATCTTGCCTGGTGTGTTAAAAAAAGGACGACGTCCGAATGCGATTTTTTATCGCGGATTTTAAAATGTCATTAATGAAGCTGCAATCACATGTTCGTTCTGATTTTGAACAAATTTTGAGTCATGTGATTACAATCTAGCATTGATCTCCAATGAATTTTCCTTTGATTTCTACTAAAATGCAAGTGTTTCTGTCGTGAGTCTTGACTGGTTCGTGCTTTCACATTGTAAGCGGCCTGTTTGCTTCGAGGCTCTTAGAAAACAACTGTCGCGGAACACTGCACACTCACACGAACAGCACACTCGCCCACACTGGCACTTCTTTGTTCACGCGGTAGCACGTGGAAACCGTCCTGAGAAGTTCTTGGCACTTGCATGCACACACGCCTGGTGCTCAGCCAAGGCAAGCAGACGAATCAACCAAGCAAGCACACTAGTCAACCAAACTACCCATGTCATGGCTCACAACAATTTTCACACCAGCAAGGTGGCAGCCGACCACCGGTCCCACCCTGGCGCACTAAGTTTTCTTCTTGCTTGTAAGCAAACACCGGGAACAAATATTTATGTCACAGTACTCCCAAACTCGTATTCATATTCAGGAATATGAAAGATTCAATCTTTATAGAAATTTATCTTGACATGTATGCTTCCAAAAATTTATTATAAATTGACTTGGATGCAAGCAGCACTCGGACTTCTCTCGTTTTTCCTAGGCAGCGTGGGTGTTCGCGTGTGTCTAGTGTAAGTCTGCCATGTAGGCGCCCAGTGGCCACATGGCTCATCACACATGGTGATCACACACCCCCTAGCTACCTGATCAACATGTGAAGGGAGCGTAGTCACCCCACGGCGCATTCAAAGATGGCCACAGGATCGCAAGCAAAGCGGAGTCTTCTCATTCCGCCAATGATGCACCGCCGACTGACTTTTGGGATGATAACGGCATCCCGACATTCGAACTTGAAAGTTTTAGACCAAATCTTGAGGTCCACTCTTACACTATCCTACCCCACTCCGACCTAACCACAGGCGTCACTCTTTTCTCACTGCGGCTGCAGTCTGTTGGGGTGTGGTTTGAGCCTAGCGCAGCGGTGTGAAACATATATCTACATTGGGCTCTAAGAGGGGCACAT